AAAAAAAAAAAAAAATTATCTCTTAAAGTGTGCAGTTCCCCCCTCCCAAACAATACAAGACCCTTTAGGTCTGGTAGAAAAGTTAGGAGGGACCAATTTAAAAAAAAAAAAAGTGTGTGGGGTTCCCCCTAAAAGTCATACCAGGCCCTTAAAGGAGAACTATGGGGTAATAAAAGACGGGGTCACATCGGGTAAATAGACACCAAACATGTCATGCTTTAAAATTGCGCGCACTTCCACATTCTGACAGCGGAACACTCGGCTCATCCCTACTGCTGGGTATGACCTTGTAATACAGCAGAACATCTAATAATCATGAGTTATGAATAGGTTTGTCTCCCTGGCCAATCACAGGAGGTTCATGGCCAGTGGTACATGCTGGTGTAGGGCAAAAAATATTTAGGGCTGACCTTGTCAGCAGTCTGCAGGTGGTCAGGGATAGAGAGACCCAGTCGGGGTCTGCAGCAGTTCTGCCAGTCAAGGGGGAAGCTGTGCCTGCGATGGAGAATCAGGAAGGTACTCTCTGGAGGTGCCAGGGAAGCTAGGATTGGGATTGGACCTTGTGGGAAGTCTGGTGCCTCACCCAGGGAGTTCTGTGCTATGTCTGCTAACAAGCTAAGGTTCTACAATACACAAGGGGAATTTATTAACACAATTGCGACTGTTTTATCCTATTTTTTTAAGCGCAAATATGTTTAGCAGCTACTGTTAGGATGTGTGCCTGTTTTGCACTGAGCATCATTTTCCTGATTTCGAGTGTTTTGCAACAGTTCGCAACTGATTACATCTGCGCTTGTCCTGCGCTGGTCCTGCGCTTGAAGGAGAAACAGAAAAAAGTATTTGAGGCAAAAGAGATCGGTTTTGATCGCAGGATCACTTGCGATTATCGTACGATAATCGTCAGGTGTATGGGTACCTTAATGTTTCTACCATCTGGGCTGCATTGTTACATTTTTCTTTTCTGTATCTTTCCCACTATGGTTTCATTTAATAAGACTCTGCAAGGAGAATTTAAAGAGATTTTGTGACACATAAGAAAAGTGCATCAGGGTTACAGGAATAGCGTTGTTATTTGCGTTAAATTCATGTACAAGGCTGCATAACATTTATGGATTTGGCACAAACCTATGAAACTGGCTCTGGCTAGTGAGACACTTTGGGACAGATATATGCACCCTGATATAGAACATAGATGTGTCAGCTCTGTCCAAAGTGTCACATATGGGTCTGAGACAGATTTCAGTTGGTTCCTTAGTCTGAAGAAATGCCGCACCTGAGGTATGAGTCACATACTGCGAAAGATGTTATACAATATGAACGTGTGACAGAGTAGTTATGCCAAAAAGTACTTGGTCTTACTTTATAATACTTTTCTTAATACCAAACTTAAAGTTACCGAGTTTTTTTAATTAAATATGTCACAAGCATAACGCCGGAATGAAACAGTAGATAACTATTTGAATTTTTAGATTATAAGCTCTCACGGGCAGGACCAAGCCATCTTGTTTTGAATTGTATTGTAACTACATATTGTAGTGCTGAGAAAAATTGTTGTCACAATATCAATCCTAAATAATAATACTAATAATAATAATTTGGCACAGGAGTCGGTAGAGGTTCGGAAAATGGTGCAGTATGTTTAAGAATTTGGCACAGACATTTACAGAATTAGGCTGCTTTAGTGCCAGATTTCTGAGGAAATCTGAGAGGAAAAAAAACAAAAAGAGAAGAGGCTGTGACTTGGTACAAATCTCATTTATCAATGGGAAAAGCTACTGACTTAGAACTTGATGTTTAAATGCTATCCATGGTCTCACTCAAACCTTCAGAAATTCTGCAAAGGTGTAATTTACCGTGGGTGATAGTTTTTTATTGGCAATGAAACCATCTATTTTGTTTATTACTAGGGAAGACCTCAGGTAATGACCAAACTCAAGGTGACCTGAACCTGGAAGGAAGCGGTCAGTGCCAATCCCCATCAAACAGACAGGTGGGATGTTGGTGACATAACTGACCTTATATTACCACATGGCCATATTTGGTCAGTGCCATTGACCTAATAAGGTCATGTGGCCATATACGACCAATGACTTCACCAGTATCCTGTCCCTTCATTTACGTGCAGCTGCGGGGTGGGTTAGGCCCCATTTGCAGCTGACTGGGCTAGCAATGATAGCTTCCTTCCAGGTTTGGATGAGCTCATGTCTTTAACTGCAAAAATGTTATAGCAATACACTTTGGTGTCAATTTATCAATACTTTCACCCAAATTCCACACAACCTTTACCCAAGATTCACACATTTTCAAGTCAAATTGAAAGGAATGTGAACGTTGTGTAAATATTGGGTGAAAGCATTGGTAAAAAGTTTTTTTTGTGTTTGTTTGTCTCTACCCAGAGATAAATTAACTTTCAGATTTAAGTGGCATCTAAGGGGAAGTAATTCCAACTGAAGAACAAAATGATGCATCAGGATTAAAAAGTTCTACTGGTTTACTGCTTTTCATTTAATTGGTCATTAATTAGCTTGTGGTCAAAGCCCCACTGATAGGTACCCAGGAATCGAGATGATGGACCTGCCTACAATGACCTGAGGTGTGCCGTGGTCACTATGGTCAGTATGCAAAATAAGGGGGGCATACTCAAGAGTAAAAGGTAACTGAAAAAAGGGGGTGAGGCGGGTGGGATGACACCCACGAGCCGACAGGTGAGAGTGGGAGACGGAGCAGTTTAAATGTGTGGGGCTCCTCCCACAAATCCGGGCTAATTAATTAGCCTACCACTTGTCTGACATCTATCTGACCAAGCCCCATGCTGGAGAAAAATAAGGTTATGATGTAACTATGGGCAAAATTAAACTGACATATATGATGTGGTCTGTCTGTGGTCTGTGTTTTTGTTATTGACAGTACCCTGTAATATTTATTTTTTTATTGTTGGTCCTGCCAGTAGATCCATCATATTTTCACTTTAATGGGCAAAGCTGCCCAGCAAAAGTTTCCGTTACAGGGGTTGGGAGAAACCATTTAACACTAACAGGGGTGTGTACAATGGCCATTTATATGGCTTCAACCTTTTTCCCAAAAGAAAATTAACCTGTAACACTAAGGCTATGTTCACACCATGTCCGGACCAGATCTGGAACAGATCTGTAAACGCACTGCAGTGCGTTTGACCGTGTTTTTAACCGTGATTTTTTATTTTTTTTTAGCTTAAAATGGGCTTACAGGTGCAGTCCACTGCATTTGCATGGGTTTGTATGCATTTTTGCTGGGTTTCCATGCATTCCAGATCAGAGAAAATTAGACAAGCAGTATTTTTTTTTTGTCTGGACCGGAACAGACTGCGCTAGTGTGAACAGAGCACGGAAATACCATAGGAATACATTGGGATGCTTATTTGGTCTGGGAACAAACTGTTCTGGCCTGGACATGATCCGGTGTGAACAAGCCCTAAGGCAACATTCACATGGGGGCTTTTGCTGCATCTGGGGATTCCTGAGACAAGAACCTACAGATTCTTACAGCAGTAATTCCAGGTGTACCTGTTCATATGAGGCCGCTGTACCCGTTCAAGTTAATTACAGGATGACATCGGCAGTTCGCATGTATTTTTACCTGTTACGACGCAGGATAGATGCATCAAGGGACAATGATCTATCCCGAACTGCAGCAAATACGATAACACGCAGGCTGCAGCTGACAGACGCAACCGCTGTCACCCAGTCATTTACTTCAATGGGTACATAGGCCACATCTAAGCGGGGCGCTTGGGATTCCTGCCGCAAGAATCCGTATGTTCCCCATGAGAACGGAGCCAAATACTGCTGCTCAGGCCTCACACATTGTATTACAGGAGGCCTCATGCATACTTTTCTTTAGTAATTACAAGTTGTGTGTTTTTCAGATATGAATACAACACAACAATTGCCTCATGCTTTGAAGGTATATTGCACACTCCTCCTTTTTTTGTACTACTTTTCTGCATTTGCGGCACATCCTGGGACCCAATGGGGATGCGCATCAAATGCAGCAAAACAAAGTCCCACAACGTGCGGTAATGCATGCTCCTGCGACGCATATTCCGACTATGCCCTGGTACAGCCTTTAATGTTTTTGTCTCTTATTTAAAGCCTATCAGGACTTTATCTCTAGTTGTTGCAAGATAAACAGAAGGGAAATCTTCCTATAGGGACTCCTGTTCCAGGGATAACTGCCAAAGGTGGGATTTCCAGTTTTGAGCGATTTCAACCCATTTCCTTTTGTGTGCACCACATGCTATTGCAAAAGTAGGTACTAGCTTGTAGAGGTAGTGGTGACATCATCACTGTGGTACACAAAGCTTGTGCAGAAAGGAGAGCTGTGGGAGGGACCCAGCAGGCTCCACCCACTACATGCTGCCCGCAGAAAGCTACTATAGGGGGCGGAGACAAGACCAGTCACCCGACACATGTAAAGGGAGCAGCAATGAAAGGTCTTTATTACAGGAAAATGTTAACACTGGATTACTGCTCATATATGGAAGAAAAACTTATAGCACGTCCAAATGTAAGTAAAAATACACATGTCCTTGGATTTGTACAAATTTTTGCTTATTGCGAAATTCAGCTCTAAATTCCATAACATTTTTACGTTGGTGGCATGCTTGTATGAATTTGTAAGCAGTGATAACAGAGTTTTCATAGCTGTATAACTTTTCACATGTCACGTGTATATCAGCTTTCATCAGCAACTCCAGGAGCTTCATACCGTGTTCCAGCCTTAGGGCAGGTCAACACCATTCCTTACCTGCGCACAGCCAGCGAGGACACTAAGCGGCGCTTTTCATCCTTGGAAATGAATGAGATCCTTACAAAAGCCACGTGAGGATTATTCAGAGAGCAAACAAGAGTAAAATCAATGAAACTCAGAACTTAACTTACGGGGCAGAGGGAAGGAGCAAACTCAGACGACATGTAAGAACCTGAACATACAGCTGGGCAGAGACTGTAGAAGACAGAAGAGCTGCGGAGGAGGCGAATATTACAGGTGGGCACTTGTCTTCTACAAATAACTGGAAGCTAATACTGCTTGGGGGGTGATTATTAAATACAAAATACACAGCAATGTAGAAACATTTAAGAATGCGTATTTCTGCTGTATCAGCTTTATAAAGAAGAACTCCAGGATTGTAAAAAATTTTACCCCCTGCAGTGTGGGGTTAGCCCCAGTGCAAGGGTTAATTTTTTACAATCCTGGAGTTCTTCTCTATAAAGCTCCCTTTCTTTTCTAGGGGCAAAAATAAAGAAGAAATACTCACCCGATTCTCGGTCCTGTGGCAGTGACCACTCACTTCTCTCCCCCTCTGCTCCCTCAGCATTTTCACATCTAATAGGCCTGTATTAGACGTGATGACATCATTGGTCCTTAGACTGCTGGAGCCCGGGGAGAAGATGCTGTGGGGCTTGATCTAGCAGTCAGGTGAGACCGAGGATCAGGTGTGTATTTCTTTATTTATTTTTGCCCCCTAGAAAATAATAATAATATCGTAACTGATGGTGACGAAAGAACATCATTTGCTTTTTCACATTTGTTGAATCGGACATTTTTGTTTGATTGTACGACAATTTATTTCAACACTTGTGGACAATTATCTTTATTCAATTATTATTTATACGCGGTTGGAAAGACATTAATTACATTGTTTGGATTTTATATATAATTTTATGTTTTGACTTCATTGGCAGAATTGATTGCTGCGCAGTGCATAATTATACACAAACGTGTCCTACATACAACAATATGTAAGTATTTCATACATTTCAACACATCTCCTTAGTTTACTTCCAAGAGTTTTATTATGCCATGTCATCTCAGCAAGAAATAAACAGCTGGTGGCTCTCATGTTGAAAAGTATTTTAATATATCGCATGTGTAATTTCTACATTTCGTTACGTTTTTTACACATGTTATAATCCACATTTTAGATCTGAAAACTAATTAAACCCCCAAATTGTATTGTTCCTGAAAGCAGAGACCATGTAGAAAAAAAAGGTGGCAACTGCAAATTTGTATGTTGATGATATTAGCTCAACTCTTTATCAAACCCAATGCATTTTTCAGATTTAACTCCTGAGTCTAGTCTCACTTTAACATGCAATGCTTCTAGTTCTTTAACCCTTTGTTAGGACAGACAGTGTTTAAATCTAGTTTACAACTGATAAAGAGATCTGCCAGCATAATATAGACAGTTAAATTATGTTAACATTACCCATCCCGTCCTCCCTGCATTTCAGAGGAAAGTTCATTATAGACCAACTTTTCTTGTAGGAAACAGCATTTAATATGCAAGCGTTAGTTTTATTTGATTTTGTTTTAAGTTATGCGATGTGAATGAGAAACATGTAAGAAATATTAAACAAGTGTCATTCCAATTTGGCTGCAAAAGTGGAAATATACTATTATGGAGTTTTCAGCCTGCAAATCTCTCTGGTGCCCATTGAGAACTTCCCCGTCTGTTGTACCAGCATTGTCTTGCTAAAGTGTAACTGAAGCCAAAACGTCTTTCTTTTTTTTTAGTTTTGGATAGAGTGGAGAGGGATTAGAACATCTGTCAGGTATCTTTGCTGTCTGTGTTGCCATTAGGGAAACTCACCCTCTATATTAGTTCTGGAAATCATTATCACTGCAACTGAAAGTAAGAGAAAATCCCAAATTATTATCCGAAGTTCTCATCAGAACAGGAATGGATGTGAAATGTTCGAATGGTGACACTAGTTCTGGTGGAGGGATTTCCTCTCACTTCCTGATGATGCTAACAGGCAGGAAGTGAAGGGAAATCTTACCAATGGGACCCAGGTGGGTCCCTTGCTCCATCCATTAAAAAAAACAAAAAGAAAAAAAAAGGGTTTGGCTTCAGCTTTACTTTATGGATATCTCTGTGTACTTTTTGGGGTTTCCTGTAGGATAACTTTCAACTAATTGGATCAAGAAATCTCATTGGCAAAAAAAGTTTTATTAAGAAAACTTTCAGCCAATTCGGACACAACTTTATATACCCCGGAAGTCTCATTCCTTGCTAGTTCTATCGGGTGCTCTTTTGTAATATGTTTCTGAATTTTTCTAGTTTTGTAAACTACTTTTTAACTGTCAGGGGATTCTTTGGGGATTTTGGGGGTTCTTAGATGTAACTGTAAAATGTAACCCCCCTCCCAGAATTAAAACACTTATTTTACTACAGTATTTAGCTCCCTATTTTCCAGCAGGACTGGAGATCACATATATAATTTAATAAATACAACTTCTAAGTAAAACGGAGTGTGAGGCAAGTGGGTGGCACCGCACTCCCAATCTACATTACACACAAAGAATGGCTACAAAGAGCCTGGTGCTTTTAAGGTACCACAATTTCATGTACAGTATATTAGTAAAAACTCGTTTTATTCATGAAAAATGTTTAAAACATATATTTTAAAACATTTTGGCCATTACAAAAATGTATTACGCATAACAAGTATGGGACAAAACAACCATATACATATACTATACAATATATATCTATATATATAATTTGCTTCCCTTTAAAAAAAAAAAGATCACACAATCTTGTGGAAAATGAGTTTGTCATGGTAAGAAAATGTTTTCTTGCTGCCCAAATTACAAAACAGTATTCTGCAGAATATGTAAGGATGAGCTCGATATAGGTTGAGCTCGATGGACATGTGTCTTTTTTCAACCTGACTATGTAACTATGAGGGTTATTCACAAAGCTAGCGAAGGATCCAGCCGTAGCTTCGGCTGATCCTTCTGCTAGCTTCGGTTACGGGAGCCCTTCGTTTCAGTAGAACCGAAGGGCTGCTGTACAGGCTATTCACTATAGCCCGTACAGCTCCTGAAGTTGGCCAAGCGGCTCAGTCGAGCCTTAGGCTGCTTTGTGAATAACCCTCTATGAGTCTGTGAAGGTTCTCATTCATCCGGGTCATGGTATATCTGTAAAAAATAAGTCAAGGCAACTGGACTTGCTGTATTTTTCTTGAAGACGTCCTCACTGGACATCCCACCAGCTTTCTCAATTCAGAATGACTGAAAAAATTATCTGGAATAAATATGGTGAATGTTCCTCCAATCCACATAATCTGTTAGTCACAACCAGGTGTTAATTGCATTTGCCTAATTGGAGTCTAGAAGGTGTTATTGACCTGCCCAGAGAGAGGTGTTAAAATCACATACTATGCTGTTTTAACATCTCTCTCTGGGCAGCTTAATAACACCTCCTAGACTCCAATTATGCAAATGCGTTAACACCTGGTTGTGACTAACAGTTTATGTGGATTGGAGGAACATTCACCATATTTATTCCTAGATAATTTTTTATACAAGTCGTTCTGAATTGAGAAAGCTGGTTGGATGACCAGTGAAACGTCTTCAAGAAAAATACAGCAAGTCTAGTTGCCTTGACTTATTTTTGACAAATATGTAACTATGAGCAAGTTTGGAGATTTTAGAAGAAACTAAGATGTACATTTTAGACAGGTTAAAGGAGAACTATGGGGTTAAGTCTACTCCCCGTCCGTTCCGCCAGTCAGCGCTGGCGGATCAGAGCGGGGAGGGGGGAATCCAGGGGGGCTCTCTGCCGTGACAGGATCGAGAGGTGAGCAAACGCCAATATATGTTCGCTCACCTCCCGATCAACTGAGCCGACCTGTGACAGTCTCATTGTCACAGGTCGGCTAGAACTATGAGGTGAGTACTTCAGACATCTCAACTCTCCCAGACGCTCCGGGAGTCTCCCGCTATTAGATAGCGGCTCCTGGCCGCCCGGGAGAGAAACATTTTCTCCCGGAAAGGTTTAATCTGCTTGATAGAGCAGATTAAACCTTTCCCTGCGATCGTTTTTTTTTTTCTTTTCTGACATCGGGAGCCGCGGCCCGACCGTCAGTCAGAAAAGAAAAAAAAAAACGATCGCAGGGAAAGGTTTAATCTGCTTGATAGAGCAGATTAAACCTTTCCCTGCGATCGTTTTTTTTTTTCTTTTCTGACATCGGGAGCCGCGGCCCGACCGTCAGTCAGAAAAGAAAAAAAAAAACGATCGCAGGGAAAGGTTTAATCTGCTTGATAGAGCAGATTAAACCTTTCCCTGCGATCGTTTTTTTTTTTCTTTTCTGACATCGGGAGCCGCGGCCCGACCGTCAGTCAGAAAAGAAAAAAAAAAACGATCGCAGGGAAAGGTTTAATCTGCTTGATAGAGCAGATTAAACCTTTCCGGGAGAAAATGTTTCTCTCCCGGGCGGCCAGGAGCCGCTATCTAATAGCGGGAGACTCCCGGAGCGTCTGGGAGAGTTGAGATGTCTGAAGTACTCACCTCATAGTTCTCCTTTAATCAAACTAAACTCACTTTTAGTTCCCAAACAGGATAAGAAAAGTGCTAGAAAACTAAACTGCCTGGCCCAAAAAAGTCACCACCTGGATTTAGCTAAGCACAAAGGTCAGAGCCTTCCATTGGATAATTACTAGGGATGCACAGAAATTTTTACCGCCAAAACTTATCGGCCAGAAATTGCACTTTTGGCAAAATGGCACTTTTTTTGCCGAATTAGCCGTCCATTCATAGTTTCTCTTCCCTCCCGCTGGGCGCTGCTCTGTGTCCCAGCGGGGAGGAGAGAAACTGTCACAGGAGGCTGAGCGGTGTGAGATGAGGAGAGTGCTGTGAGCGGCCGGCGTCTCTCCTTCCTGCACCACTCAGCTTTCTGTTACAGATCAGGATGGAGAGCGGCGGTGTGTGGAGATCGCCGGGATCACTTGTATAAAACAAGTGGCGGCTACCCCGCTGTACATTTTGCTCTGCTTGCCCAAATTTAACTTATCACCTCCTACCTTGTTTTCCTCATTACTGGTCCATCGACTTGATGGGCAGCATCACAGTGCTATAAGGAGACACGAGGGAGGCATGTGAATAATAAAGCACCCGGAGTTGGAAGATCTTGGTGTGTTCTGAAAATAATTTTTCGCATCAAGCAGGCAGCTCAGAATGCCTGAATTACCAGTTTAGC